CGGGCTCGGCAGCCGTGGTAAATGGCCCCCAACTAGTTCGGCGGGCCAGAGGCTTCCTAACTTGCACCTCTCCCCCGGGGGATCGGGTGGAAATGGAGGGTAGCTGGCTGTGTGGGTTTCCCGGACCGCGCGGGCCGCAGGCGGGCTGCGGGGGTCCTAAGGTACAGCAGTAATCAACCCAGGAATTTCGATGATGTCGGCAGGTCGAGTAGGGACACGACTGCACTAATTAATGTCCGCAAAACCATAAAAAGTGGCTAACTACACCACAAATAAAAGAGTGTGACATTATCGAACATTCCAAAGTGCGTGACAAAATGTCACACATGTGTCATGCAGAGGAAAGTGTCTGACAGTCGTGCCATTCACAGGAAAGTGTGTGTGTGTGTGTGTGTGTGTGTGAGAGAGAGAGAGAGAGAGAGAGATTGTGTGTGTGTGTGTGTGTATGTGACTTATGGTAAAAAGTGTATACTTTTTGACATAGCACAAACGAGTGTAAGATTTGACTATGGCATGCACAATAATTTTCCGCGTGACATTTCGGCACGTACTTTTATGTGTTTTAATGTCACACACTTCTGTTTGTAGAGTGTCGGGGCGCGGGGGCGGCGCCCTGTGATGAAGTAATTAACCGGGACGGCGGTGGTGGGCTTCCTTGAAAATATCCAAAAGTTTGCGCCCCCTGCGGGACCCCCAGGGCCCTCAGGCCGCGAGCATTCAGTCAATTCGGGGGAGTAAATTATTGAGATATTGAGTGAGAGGGGGTTGGGAAGGTGATGGCGGTGGAATTCCTACCCCTCCTCCTCCTCACCATCATCCTCCTCCTCCTCCTCCTCCTCCTCCTCCTCATCCTGGGGGAAAATTGATGAAACGAAAGGCCTTTGCATCGGCATTTTCGGGCCGCTCTACCCCACCAAGCTCACAGGTATTTTCTTCCATTTCTCTGGCGGAATACCCTGGGCCGCATACCTCTGCCCTCCTCTCCCCCTTCATTCTTTTCCCCTCGCCTAGCCGCGTCTACGATACACTTATCGTGCCCTGCCGTGCGATTCAGGAGATCGTTGCAAGAGAGGCTCTCCTGTATAGCTCAGTCCTTGTTGCACTCATAGGGCAGGTACAGGAGAGCCCCTCTTGAACGATCTCCTGAACGATCTCCTGAATCGCACGGCTGGCTCGGTTCCCTTCTCGTGCATCTACCATCTACCCGTCCCGTCCCATGACGAAACGTGGACGTGATACTGCCAGCCAGACATAAACAAGTAAGCGTACACGTGTTGCTCTAACACATTTCTAATTTTTTCGCAATTGCGGTGCATTGTATTATCATTCAAATTACGCACAAACGCTGGCTCAGTTATGCCCTAGTTAAATTTGTAACCTTGAAGAGCAGAACTCACTAAATGGGAAGGGACGAGTTTGAAATTAGCTTAGATGCGCTATATATCAAGAATCAGCTACAAGTCCCTTTAAATTTCCCATTTCTAAACATCAGATGAGCACAAGATGCCAAGTATAAGCTAGGTAAAAAATATTGTCCATTCCGATAAATTTTGCAGTTGATCACGACCACGACGTCGAGCGTGGTATCGCGGGGGAACGTAGAAGAAGAAGAGGGGAAAAGAAGGGGAAGAAGAACTGGTCGCGGCGGATATGGGGGATGGGCGTCCTCTGGAGAATTCTTCGTCGAAGACGTGGTCCTCCAACCCCAACCCCCTCCTCATCCCCCTCCTACACCAAGGCCTGTCCCCCCAACTGCTCGCCCTTTCCGCTTCCTCGAAGCTACACCTTCCCTCCGCCTACCATCCCTCTCCGTTCGACTCCAGCAATTCACGCGATGTTCGTTCGCGTCCACACACACACACGCACACAAACTCGATAACACCCCACACAGGGCGGGAGCCCCGTCTCCTTTCTTCCCTTCTCAAGTTCACCGTGTGTCATTGTGATGTATTTTTATTCGTGGCGTCATATATGGTAAAATGTTGTTTCTCTTCGGTGTTTAATGAAACTCGACCAGACCATTTCGTGCTAAGAATCGAAATGCAGAGGGGCGAGCAGTTCTGCTGATCTACATGACGTCAGCATTCATCCGGAGCAATTTGCACGTGAAATATGACCCACCGTGAATCAAAACGGTATACCGAGAACAAGGGCCTGGGCTTGGCACATAGCAACAACTGCAGTGCGCGTATTCGTTGGAACACGCCAGCGAAAACAATAGAAATTTCTGTTGGCGTTGAGAGGAAGGGAGGGCACGTGGAGCCCAATATTAAACTGCCATCACAATACAGTTCGGTCTCGTCCACAGTGTCCGGCTGGAGGTGAGTTTGCGTCCGCCCCCCCCCCTCTCCTCTCGCCCCCCTCCCCTCTTCACCGCCGGCTTCGGCCGAATCAATATCTGGGCAATAAGCTACATCACGTCTAATGACGACCCACAAGCTTACCGTGTGCCTGCTTGCTCCGAGATTAAAAATGCGAGCGACGACGCGGGGCAGATCGCAGCACACATTGCCAAACCGTTTTAATACTTTTGGGACTTCAGCATGAAAAGAAAAATATGAACATAAACTGAGAACAAAAAACACCCCCCCCCCTTTTTTCTCACATTGGGCTCAAATGCGAGATTCAATGAGAGGAGACAATTTTCTAAGAGTCACAACAAAAAATAATTAAAGAGACAATGTTTGAATTCTTTGTGAAGGCTACATTATGCAGCAAGATAGGAGGGGAGGGGCGGTGGCT